CTTGCAAGTCCTACAGCTGCAAAACAACAAAAAAAAGGGGGGAGGGAATGGGGTCGTATATTTTAAAAGCTAAAATTTGTGACGTGTACACTTTTTAAATGTTTCATTTTTATTGCAAGGTGTCGGGAGGAGAACACAAAAAGTGGTAGGGGGTCTCTAAAAGTCAAGCGACGGCCCTGCTTGAACGGGATGAGTCGTGGAATATTTGTTTAATTAAAAATGACTAAATAGTAATACTTATTAATAAGGTTTTTTAAATTCTTATTTTAACTATGTTTGAGATCAAACCTGGACGTTCTCATTGTTCACGGGGGTCGGAGGGGGGGGGTGTTGTCAGCGTCAAGAGATTCTTATTATTCCAATGCCTGTGTCAGGAAAGGCATTCTCATTGTTTACATGGGTGTGTCAGCTTGACATTCTTTTCTTTTCCCCGAGAGGTGTGTCACGCAGGACATTCTCATTGTTTACATGTTGGTGAGCCAGAACATTCTCATTATTTACCTAGGACTGTTCACGTAGCGTGTATCAGCCAGGAAATTCTCATTGTTCACGTAGTGAGTGTCAGCAAGGAAATTCTCATTGTTGACTTAGGAAATGTCAGCCAGGAAATTCTCATTGTTGACGTAGTGTGTGTCAGCCAGGAAATTCTCATTGGTCACGTAGTGTGTGTCAGCCAGGAAATTCTTATTGTTGACATGGGGTTTTAGACAAGCCAATCTTATGGTTTACGACTGTGTTTTATACGAGGCATTTATATTTCATACATTGGAGAGTTAGAGACTTCAATATCATTGTTTACATGGGGTTATCAGCCAGGACAATATCATTGTTTACATGGGGTTATCAGCCAGGACAATATCATTGTTTACATGGGGTTATCAGCCAGGACAATATCATTGTTTACATGGGGTTATCAGCCAGGACAATATCATTGTTTACATGCGGTTATCAGCCAGGACAATATCATTGTTTACATGGGGTTATCAGCCAGGACAATATCATTGTTTACATGGGGTTATCAGCCAGGACAATATCATTGTTTACATGGGGTTATCAGCCAGGACAATATCATTGTTTACATGCGGTTATCAGCCAGGACAATATCATTGTTTACATGGGGTTATCAGCCAGGACAATATCATTGCTTACATTGGTGTTTTAGACAGGACTTGCTTATTTTTTAAATGCCATTCAAAGCCACTAATATTTGGTTTAAATATTTTCTGGTTATTGGTGTCGCTTTAGGTAGTTACGTGTAAATGTCGTGGACGAAGTTCAATATTGCTTCTTTCCAAGTGTGTCATTTGAAATGGTAAATAAATAATATTTCCTAAGCAATATCCATCTGATGACATGAATGTAAGGAAGTGATGAGGCAAACCAAAGCCCTCTGTGGGCCGTAATGCCACTTGTATGGATGGAAGCAATATCCATCTGATGACACGAATGTAAGGAAGTAGTGAGGCAAACCAAAGCCCTCCGTGGGCCGTAATGCCACTTGTATGGATGGAAGCAATATCCATCTGATGACACGAATGTAAGGAAGTAGTGAGGCAAACCAAAGCCCTCCGTGGGCGTAATGCCACTTGTATGGATGGAAGCAATATCCATTTGATGACACGAATTGCACACCGCAAACAGAGATGTATGGGAGACAAACTTACCCACAGCAAGGATTAAAATAGCAGATTAGTGGCTATCACATTAGTGGGAAGAAGATTAGCTTATTCATTAAAGATTAACCAATTATTAGTAAAATTGAAATAAGTCTAAAAAAATTATTTTGTCCAACTAGTCGATTTTGCACCCATTAACTTTGGCGCAAACGGCTATTTCCGTGTCCTGTCACAAACTTTGTGGTCCGCGTCTGCTCGGGAATCTGCGAAAACAGAACAAAGACACATCTGATTGCCACTATGGGCTTAGGGTGAGATGGGAGGGCGGCTAAAAAATCAATGTCTTGGCCGTGTCTTGGCATTCGAAAGGACCAGCCCAACATTTAAAATATAACGTTATGTCTGTGTATGATTCCGTTCATGTGTATGTGTTCATGCATTTATATATTATAATGGTTTACAAAATTCGAAAATCTTGTTTTAAATGCCTAAAAGCATTGTCCAAAATATTTGTTGGCATTAATCGCTCCAAAAACGCTTTAGAAAGGGTCATTAAAACGTATGCCACGGGCTACTTTTACGTAAATTCGATCGTTGTTTCGGACGATGGTTCACAGTTTTTCCGTGCTTGAATTTTACTTGACCGAAATTATATCCCTGGCAGACGTTAGCGGTCTGTTGTGGGCGTGGCCTATTCTTTTGAAGTATCTTGTTTAAACCGTGTTTACCATTAAAAATTTTAGACTGTCTTCCTGATATTTTCTCGAATGTGCTCGATAACCCGAGATATGTAAACAACACGCCATAGGTCTTTATGGAAGGCAGGGCTTACGCGTCTTATATAAGGGATTGACAGGCATGGACGGAGAGACGGAGATTCAGATAGATATTATTAACTTTACGAGGCGTGTACTATTCCTTGTGTATTTGTGTGCTCATACTTATATGTGTTTTTTTCGCATTCATCATTATTCATTGGCACATTATTCTAACTGTATTAACTGTGTACTGGTACAAGATCTACCACACTGTAAGTTGATGATTTTTAATGATATTTCTTTTCTTTTGTAATTACATTAATACTTAATAAATCTTATTAATTGTATTTAGAAACTGCTTTGGGTGTCATATCTTTAATATTGTTGACTATATGGTAACGTCCTTTGTTGGGTACTGTTTACAACGAGCCAATTAAAATTAAAATAGGAGATTAATTTCTCCCAATACAAGTCAGTGCGTAACAAAGGAACAATGGAAATGTCGCCCCACTTTATCATGACCATTATCGTCTATCGACGAATGATCGGTGGCGGCTTTAGTTCCGCTTATGCTCAAAATGGCAACGGATCATGCCCCTCCCCTCCAAATGATCTCCCAACACAATTAGTGTCTGCAGGGATTTACCTTGCCATAAAAGCCAACGGGTCACAGTTCTGTCGCCTAGTGGTTGAAGTTTTCCGAAGCAAACAGGTTACCCGGTAACATTCTTCAGCAGAAGCTTCAAAGATTCTCATTTTTACTAAGCCATGGCCAGAGAACACGGAATGAGTTCAGCAAGAAAGTTGCACATCCATGCCTTTCTTGTATCGGTGAGTCATTGACATCTGCACAACTACTTAAAGTTTCCATACCACAGCAAACACTATTAAACGCTTTCTGAAATTAGCAAAAAGTTAATTGTTCTGTCCTGAAAACGTAAACCTGGTATGTGTATATGCAATAATTTTGAGTCCCATTTTTTTTTCAATCTGAAATCGTGGGGTAAGAACATATTTTAAACTGTAGAGATTCATAAAAAGCAACGAAAGAGAATGAATGATGTCAGGTTTAAATTGATGTGTTTTTTAAATACAAAACATATGCAAATTTTCAATAATTTGGTTTCACCCCCCCCCCTTTTTTGGGGGGGGGGGAATGGTGTCGCCCTGTGAGGTCCGCACCCCAGCAACCCCGCACCGCTCTCGCTACGGCTCTACCGTGTGTGTGTGTGTTCATGAGTGTGACAATTATTAGCCACGCTTAATTCCAGCTGAATCCTTCCAAGAGCTTTAATCAAAAAAGATTTGGAGAATCCTAGATTGAATTCTTGCATAAAATGTATGGTTTAATGTTCCACATATTGATGTGGAAAGTTCAAAGTGGCTTTTATTTATTTTTTTTTTTTAAAGTTGGGGAAAGCAAGAAATTAAGCGTCGGGCCGAATGCGATATCAAAACATTTTTTTTTAAAATTATATTGAATCTTTTTTTTTTTTTTTTTAAAAAGGTGCTTTCGTTTATAGTTCTAGCTCAGTACCAGACACAACCATCCGCCTACCCAGCATCGACTGGCTACCAGGGCTATGCCCAGCCATCAGCAGCTTACCAACCTTCCACTGGCTACCTGCCATATTCTCAGGCCAGCTACCCCGCCTACGGACAACAGCCTGCCTACGGATCCTATGGGTATAACGCGATGAGGCCTCTCGTGCAGTCGGATGTGAAAAATTGTACCGACAC